GTGAATGAGTAGCGGGAACACAAAGTGCACCTACTGCCCATTCCACCCCTGTGCCCCGTGGTGAATATTCCTAGTATCTTCCCCCAGCCCCAAGTTGAGACCTGCAGCTATGACAGTGGGGACCCAAGGGGGACAGTGGCTCTGCCTTGCTCTTGAGGTCCAGAAACTAATAAATAAACCATGTGGCCATTTCATATGAACCACTTCAAATTTTTTCTCAAAAAACCAAAGAAGTCCTTGAGAAATCGTGGACAGAGAAGGGGTTCTTCATTGTATCCGTTTTCTTGGGGTGTGTAACCTGGCCCTGGGGAGGTGAGGGTCTGGCCAGGGTCACAGCTAAGGACATGTGTTCTGGCTCAGAGAGCAGAGCTGTGCTCACCCACCAGCCAGCTCAGGTGGGTTCCAGCCTGGTGGAGAAGTGCCAAGCCCACACAGGTGACAGCTCTTACTATACTCCAGGTGCTGTCCGCTTATCAGATGTTATTTAATTATTGTAGCAGCCTGTGGGGTAGCTGAATAGTTAGGCTGGAATGTAAGGGGTGCGTAGGGATGTCTTAGGAATTAACCTGCAGAGGTCTGTTGGGACTGGGCTGGGGAGGACCAGAATGCCATGCCAAGGATCCCCTCTCTGGGTGAGGGGGAGTGATCAAGAGCTTTTGGTAGGGAAGTAATGTGACCTGACTTATTTTTTTAAGAATGGACTGGAGGGGCAAGAGCAGAGCCGAGGCTGAGAGAGGAGGTAATTGGGCATGAGGAATGACAGCTGGGACTAATGCTAGGGCCTTGGGCGAGAACCGAGAGACGGCTTTCCCATCTGGAGAGGGAAGCAGGATGGAGAGGAGAGCCAGAGACGAGGCAGAGCTCCCAAAGGAGGAAGAAACCATGAATGGGAGTCTTGCTTAGGCTCTGCCCCCAACCAGCCTTGGACCCTTGGGCAAGTCACGTCATCCCTCCGGGACTCAGTTTCCACTTCTGTAAAATGATGGGGCTGAAGGCAGCCTCTCCTGTGGTGAGAACGATGGGCCTTTTGCACATTTCTTTTGCTCCAGGGGTGGGAAGGACCTGAACCATGGCATAGTGCCTGGCACTGCCAGGGACACCAGAGGAACTGCCAAAGTGGCAGGGAGTGGCTGGCACACAGGGCCAGTTGGCATCACAGTAAGCAGCATGGCAAGGCTAAGGCAAAGGGTGGGCCAAGGGCCAGGGCTGCTGTGGCTCGCCAGCATGCACAGGATACTGGAGTCGCTGTGGCAGGGCTCCAGCAGACACGGGTAAGGCCAGTCTGTGAACCGCATCCCCTTTACGTAATCATCATTACAGCAATATGTTTTCTCATTTCAGTGGGGCAGTGCCAGGCCTCTGATCAAATGGCTTTTGTAATCCTCACTGTCAAGTTTAAGCTTGAGCAAACAGTAAGACAGCCTCAGAGTCACCTCAGCCTTCTGACTCAGTGTCCCGGTGTGCAAGGGATGGGGCAGGATCTTCTAAACATCCCTTCTGACCCTAACATGCTAGGAGACTTCGGTGAGAATTCCACCTTTGAGATCTCACCGTGCTGGGGGTACCTCCGCCTCTGAGTGTGATCAAAGCTCACTGCAGCCTCAAACTCCCAGGTGATTCTCCTCCCTAAGCCTCCTGAGTAGCTGAGACTACAGGCACGTACCACCATGCCCAGCTAATTAAAAAAAAATTTTTTTTGTGGTGACAGAGTCTTACTATCTTGCCCAGGCTGGTCTTGAATTCCTGGCCTCAAGCAATCCTCCCACCTTAGACTCCCAAAGTCCTAGGATTACAGGTGTGAGCCACCACACCCAGCCGTTATACATTTTGAAATACACTTTTCAGCTGTAGGGCCATGATATGGGATTTAAATTCTCTGTGCCTGTTTCCTTGGGCCTGGTAGAGAAAGTGTGAAGAGCCTATTGAGACTGCATACCTGGGGATGCTGCTGCTGCCTACTTTGCTCTTAGAAATACTAAGTGAGAATATAGGAGTGAAAGCTTTAGCACAGAGCCAGGAACACTGTAAGTGCTCCATGAACTGACAGCTATTATTGTAATTATGCATTCAGCCATCAGAAGTTACTGCATGCCGAGAGCTGTGCAAAGCTCAGGGGATAGGATACTCACCAGTTAGGCTGACGAGCAAGTGCCCTGTCCTGAGGGAGTTGCTGTCTGAAGGGGAGCCAGACCAGCCAACCAGCTTCCCTTAACTAGTACATGTGCCCTTTGCCGGGGAAGAGGTGCCGCAGGAGCCCACAGGAGGGGCACCTGCCCCAAAGCCATGGGCGGCAGGCCCCTGCAGTTACCCTCTGCTGTCTGGATGCCCTCCCCTGGCCTGGAAAGAGCTTCCCCCAGATTGTTCCATGACTCACTCACTCATGTTATTCAGGACTCTGCTCAGATGCCACCTCCCCAAGGAGCCTTCTCCAACAATCCCTGCTCACCCTGCCACCTTTGTCATTTCTTTCCATGCCCTAATCCGGCTTTGTTCTCTTTATAGCACTGATATTTTCTACCAGTGGATTGTGGATCTGTTTTGAAAAATATGTTTATTGACCATTTACTCACCACAAAGTAAGCCTGGTGAAAGCAGGAGCTTTACCTGTTTTTAATTCCTTATTGCATCCCCAGTGTACCCCCAGAATAATGCCTGGGCCACAGTGAGCCGGCTATACCTGTCTCTAATGAATGAAGTGGCCACTAAGCTGGGTGCTGTGGGATGTACAGAGGCTGAGCAAGGAAAAGGCCAGGGAGAGGAGAGCAGACACACAGTATGATATCATGCCCATAAAATCCCAAATCCAAAACTTCCATAAACAATATGTGGTATTGTTTATGGAGTATCCTATGTATTGTTTATGGGGTCCAAACCAGCTTAGTGGCCACTTTGTTCATCTCTGCACTCGACACTAAACTCTGCACTCGGCACCTAGCCAGCCGTTAGAAAACCCCACCAAAGTTTAAAAGAAGCCCCAAAAAAGAAAGCCGAAACCTGCCCAATAGCGCATTGCCCCGTCCAGCCCGCTCACTGGAAGTCCCGCCTACCTACCTATAGCAGCTTGCCACGTCCGCATCCTGTTTCTCCATAGCCAGTCAGAGCACCTTTCCTACCTATATAACCCCACGCCTGAGAGGAGTCAGGCGTGACTTCTCTGGCCCCCTTTCCCTGGACCATAGAACCTTGCCTGGGAGCCGAATAAATTGGCGTCTAATTGTTCTTATGCAGGCCTCAGTTTCCTCATTTTAAACTCGGCAATAAACCTTACAGAGAATAAACCTTACAGGCTCCTTGGGGAGGAGTTCATTATGACAGGTGTGTTCATTAATACAGCAGGAGAAGCAGGCAGTGAGAGGAGGAGCTTCCTGCTGGAGCTTCCGAATCATGACGCGGGTCTGTCTCCGTGGAAGGAGCCAGGGCAGGAAATCTGATTGGAGAAGGAAGTCTCAGGCTGCAGCGTGGTTCTAAGAAGGTTTTGGCCAGGCAGATGGGGAGTCCTTCAGCCAAAGCTGGCCCTCATAGGAATTCCTTATCTGACAGAAGCTAGTGCCATACTATGCTCAGCCTCTGGCTGGAATTAGCCCAGGGGACATGTGGCTTTGGGGGGATACAGTGAAGGATCCCGAAAGGCGGGAGCTATGGCTGTCACTTGACTGCTCCCTGCAGCACGATGGTGCAATTACATGGCTTCCCAACAAGCAGAGGGCCAGGGAGGATGTATGTGGTGAGAGCTGAGTCTGGAGAGCTAAACATGGACCAGATCACTAACGGTTCTTCAGGCCCTGTTAAAGAGTTGGACTTTATCGTGAGGGCAATGAGATGCCAGGGTATGGTTTTGTTCAGAGGAAACAGAAAGATTGGATTTGTATGTCAGAAGGCTCAATTTGGCTGTTATATAGAACATGGAAACCAAAACCTTTAAAAAAGTCTAGTAATCCAGGCTGTTGGTTTTAGAGAGTCAAAGCATGGCACCCTTTTCGTGTTTTTGTTTTTCCTTTGGTTTTGGTTTTCATTCTCACTGTGAAAGCAGTTTGAGAAATAGACACAGGTGGCCTCCTCGTGAAGGTCAAACCTCAACTTTATTCTTGAATAAGCTGTTGGCAAATGTGCCTTCTTCGTGGGGGCCAAATGGGTTTCCAAGCACTCCCTGCCCCATGGTTCCCTCCAGTCTAGGCCTTGGGCAGTCACCCACGCATCCATCTGGGTCTCCTCTGCAGAATCGCCGCCTTCCTCTGTCCAGGATGAGGAGGAGAAGAAGAGGCAGGTCTTTCCATTGCTGAGCTCCACCTAATGGAGAAAAGTGGACACCTGTCACCCCAGGTGAGTGGCCATAAGTGTTAGTCCTAGAAGCACAAGGATGGGAAATCTATGCTCTCCACATTTGCAGGTGAGAGATAGTGGTATCTCAGTCAGGTTGGTGGCGCTGGAGGGAGGAGCACAGAAAGAATAATTGACAAGACTTAGTAATTGACCAGATGGTGTGGGTGATGGTTCTGTGTGCTCAAGGAAAGGTCAAGAATGAGGCTCAGTGGTCTGCCTTGCGCAACAATGGTGGGCCATGCAGTTCTATTTCCTCCACTTCCAGCCCATAAGCTACCTTTGTGGGAGTTGGAAACAGGGCCCTCTGAGCAGGGATAGCTATTGCAGAGGTGACAGCCTGTGAGTGGCAAGGGCTGGATTCTGTCTCCCACACTCCTCCTGACTAGAGGCCTCTGTGCAGGCCACACACTGTGGACCGGACACCACTGACTAAAATAGGGAGGGAGGGGCCAATTGGTGAGCTGAATTTTAAGCATATTAGGTTTGAGGTATCTGAAAACAATATGAAATTGAGAGTCACTGTTTCTTCTTGTTATTATTGAGGTGAAATTCACACAATATAAAATTAACCATTTTATTTTATTTTATTTTAGGGATAGAGTCTTACTCTGTCACCCAGGCTGAAGTGCAGTGGTGTGATCTCAGCTCACTGCAACCTCCGCCTCACAGGTTTAAGTGACTCTCTTGCCTCAGCCTCCTGAGTAGCTGGGATTACAGGTGCCTGCCACCAAACTCAGGTAATTTTTGCATGTTTAGTACAGACAGGGTTTCACCACGTTGGCCAGGCTGGTCTCAAACTCTTGACCTCAAGTGATCCGTCCACCTTGGTCTCCCAAAGTGCTGGGATTACAGGTGTGAGCCAGTGTGCCTGGTCAAAATTAGCCATTTTAAAGTGTACAGTGGTATGGAGTACATTCACGGTGTTGTACAGCCATTGCTTCTCTCTAGTTCCAAGACATTTTCATCACCTGCAAAAAAGATTCCATACTCAATAAGCAGTCACTTCTCATTCCCATTTCCTGTCCCCTCAGCCCCAAGCAACCACTAATCTGCTGTCTCTTTATGGATTTACCTGTACTGAATATTTCATATAAATCAAATCCTGGCCAGGTGTGGTGGGTCACACCTATAATTCCAGCAGTTAGGGAGGTTGAGGCAGGAAGATTGCTTAACCTCAGGAGTTCAAGACCAGCCTGGGCAACATAGCAAGACCTCATCTCTACTAAAATTAAAAAAATATATATTGAAAATAAAAATAAATGGACTCCTACAGTGTGTGACCTTTTGTGCTTGGTGTCTCTGATTTAGCATTTGTTTGTTTATTTATTTATTTTTTAGACTCAGTCTTGCTCTGTCACCAGGCTGGAGTGCAGTGGCACGATCTCTGCTTGCTGCAAACTCCCGGGTTCAAGCGATTCTCCTGCCACAGCCTCCCGAGTAGCTGGGATTACAGCGGTGTGCCACCATACCCAGCTAATTTTTGTATTTTTAGTAGAGACAGGGTTTCGCCATGTTGGCCAGGGTGGTCTGGATCTCTTGACCTGATCCAGGTCTGCCTCGGCCTCCCAAAGTGCTGGGATTACAGGCATGAGCCACCACTCCCGGCCTATTTCTTTTTAAAACTGGGGAAAAGATGGGAAGAAGCCAGTAGAGAAGGGAAATGTTGAAAACACAGGAGAGCAAGAAGTGACCAATAGGATGCATTCCTGAGAATGTGGGGGCAGGGGTGGGGTGGGGGGAGCCCAGGACCAACTGCCTTTATACCTCCAAGGGACACCTCTCACTGGGGAAGCAGGAGGGATGGGGCAGGTGCTGACAAGATCCTCATGATAGATTTGGTGGCAGCTGAGATTTGCACCTAATGGTGTCTGTTTATTCTGTGAAATAAGAGGTTGGCCATCTACTGAGAGGAGAGTAGCAGCATTGTAGGTTTGAAGAAAATGATGATAATTGGAAATAGTTGCTGTAGAGAACGGGCAAAATCTTGCCAAGGAAATAGAGGAGGTTTTCCAGGCTATGTTGAGAGCCTGGTGAGGCTGGGGTCAGTGAATTCACAGTAATGTAAACCTGTGGTGTGATCTGATTTATCTGCAGATCTCAGCAGCCTGGAGGTGAATGAGGTGTACGTGTCACATTTGGAGCCATGGCAACCATCCTGTGACCATGAGGACACAAGTCTAAAGGTAAACACTGAGGATGGCGGAACAGAGGATGCTTGGGGTCCCTCGGGCTGTTCTGTGCACAGTAGTGAGATGACTCTGTTCAGAAGTCAGAACTCATTGCTCCTCTCCTCAAAACCCTCAGATGGCTTCCTCTCTCTCCAAGAATACAGTTTCAAGTCCATAAAGCCCCAGGTGATCTGACTCCCCGCTGCCTCTTTGATCTCATCCTTTTACACTCCCCCTTCCTCCTTCCCTCCAAGCCAACCTCTGGCTTCCCTGTTGATCCTTCAATGTTTCCAGCACACTCCAGCCTCATGGCCTCTGCTCTGGCTGTTCCGCTTTGCCTGGGATGCTCTCAGCCCAGACACCTGGCCTGTTCACCCATTTGCTTCAGCTTCCTGTGTAAATGTTGCCTCCTTGGAGAGGCAGTCTCTGACCACCCTCTTTCTAAGGCACCCCCTTCTTCATCACTCTGTTCCGTTTTCCTGCCTTATTGTTTTTCAGAGCACATATTAGCACCTCACACTTTAAGGACTTGTTTATTCTCTTACACACATACTCTTACACTTCTTCATGCTCACATGCACACACACACACACACACACACACACACACACACAAAACTCTCACACTCATATGCACTCATGCTCCCTGATACACGCACATGCTCACCTTCACTCACTCTCACACATATGCACAAATGTGAACTTCCAGAGAGCGGCACCCTGGTCCATTCCTCGGCACCTAGAACAGTACCTGGCATCTAGTAGGTATTCAACAAATCTTTATTGAATGAATGAATTAATTAAATAATTAAAATAAAAAGCCAGGGGCTGGGTGTAGGTGGCTCACACCTGTAATCCCAGCACTTTGGGAGGCTCGGGCGGGCGCATCACCTAAGGTCAGGAGTTTGAGACCAGCCTGACCAACGTGGTGAAACCCTGTCTCTATTAAAAATACAAAATTAGCTGGGCATAGTGGTACATGCCTGTAATCCCAGCTACTTGGGATGCTGAGGCAGGAGACTTGCTTGAACCCGGGAGGCGAAGGTTGCAGAGATCCGAGACCATGCCATTGCATTACAGCCTGGGCAACAAGAACTAAACAACATCTCAAAAAAAAAGTAAAAATAAAAAGCCAGAGTCCTTGATGATGTTATTGGGTCACCGAACTGACTGTGGAACCACCCAGGCCCAGACTTTTTGTCATGAGAGAGAGTTGTCAACTGCTAAGTTATAGGAGAAAACAGTCAAGGGCAAAGCAGGAGGCAGGGCATGAGCACCCAGGATTGCACCCCTGGCACCCTGGTCAGAGCCCGCCCACTTCACCCATGGCCTGGTCCAGCTGGCCTGCCCCAGCCCTGCAGAGAAACTGAAACCAGACTGACCCCATCTCTACTAAGCTGATGGAGCTGCCCCACTTCAGGTGTTGCTGGTTGCTTTGCCAGAATGAGAAAGATGAATGAATCTTGCACCAGTTCCTACCTGGCAGTGACACACCTCAGCTCCATTCGCCTTCGCTCACCAATGCAAATGATGTGGCCACACCTAACTTCAAGGGGAAGGAAGCTTAATCCTCCCATGTTCCAGGTGGAGTACTAAAAACACTTGGTAGACGACACCAGCGACTGCCACCGAGTTTGTAGACAGAATCACGTAGGACTTGTGGGTACTGAGCACCAGTTCAAGCCAAGGACAAAATGAAGTCTCCATTTTTAACAGAAGAATCTGGGCCTGCAAATAAACAGGTCAGTGAACAATTCCACTAGGAAACTCACTGGAATATAAGAACATTTATTTATTACTTTGGCAACACCAAGATATGATACCCTATGCATGAACAAGCAGGGACCACCTTGGTTCCACCTTCCTGCGGGAACAGTCGTCCATCAGCTTGCGTGGTGTTCTTTCCTTAATGGGCTGTTTTCATATGAAAAAGCCCTTGTCTCCAGCAGCAACCCAGTTAGGTCTCTGGTTATTTTTGCATTTTGTACCTCCCATCACATGCTAGGGTTGGACAAAGATCCAGGAATCCAGGCTTGGAAGAGAGGCTGCCTGAATCATGACATAGATGCTGCTGCCTGGAGAGGCAGGGCTCCCCTGCAATATCCAGCCTGCTCCCCTGGTCCACCAGCACTCCCTGGGAAAGGTTAGTGCCACACATACAGCCCTGGGCAGCAAAGCAGAGGCTGAACTGAAACAGATACTGACTAAAATAAGACCTGCCAATTATTGTATAGATCTGTGCTTTTCAGCTTTTTAAAAAACAGTTTCTTTAGATCAACATACAAATCTCAAAAGTCATCCCTGACCCAAGGTTCTGATACATAAATAAGCACCTCTCTTGTCTGTGTGTCCCCACTTGCCAAGAGCATTTTACTGAATTTTACTTTCTATACTTTTGTCAGAAGATGAAAATTTCCAGATATAAAATTATTATTTATAATTATTAATTATATTATAATTGAACCTTCCTTTTAAAAACACTCATGTTCCTGTGAACCAGTAAGTGCATTACTCCCTTGGGCTGGAGGCCCCAGCTGAGACTAGATGAACTCCAGCAGAGACTCTGACAAATGAATGACAGCGTTGGGTCAGAGAGAAATGTGAAAACCAGCAAACATATGTTCAAATCGCGATGCCATCATTTAGTAAACATGCACCCTGAGCAACTTTCCAGGGCTTATTTTCTTGTCTATGAAATGGGAACAACAGGTACAGTACCATCTAGTCCACTGGGGTCACCAGAAGAAACTAGACGATGTAACATACAAGGAACATTTAGAAGCAAGTATGTAACAAACGCTCAGCAAATGGCGATCACATTTTAACTTGTCCACCCAAATAGAGAAAACCAGTGGTCACATGGAACTGAGATTTTTCTCAATGTATGATTTTTACCTCTTAATTTCTTTGGGCTTTTCTTTTCTGGAAGGGGATGAACACAGATAAAAAGAGAGTTTAAGAGCTCTTCATGGAAAGATAGCCAAACCATTAAAATACTATTTCAACAGAGGGGGGTCACAGAATGATGGAATGGTAGCTCTATAGGACTAAAGGGAACCTCATATTTGCCACTTTTATCTGATTCATGAAACTGAGACCCAGAGAGGTAAAGGGGTGTACTCAGTCCCATGGCTGAGTTGCAAACTATGTGAATGGCACCTGTTGGTGTCACGCAATGCATAACAACCACCTGTGCAGCCTCATGGCCCTGCACAACCTCCTGACCGCAGTGATGGAATAAAGTGGTCCGTTAGTGGTATTTTCAAGCCTCTGGAGATGTTGATACAATGACTCCTCCTCTTTCTCCATGCCCTGAAATATTGTAGCCCAAGAAGCTGCGGATGCTCTTATAGCTGTGAGGGGAGGGGCTCCCCGAGGAGAGAGGTAACCTAGAATTGAGAGATGGAGGAAGAGACAAAATCTGGATGGCTTTGCTCAGATCCTGTAATCCAACTATGCCTGAATGTGGATCTATCTTCCAAAGGTAGGCTGCTTTTCATTTGTTTGTTTGAGCCAGCTGGTATCAGATGATCTGTCACTTACTACCTTGTTATAATTAATAGAGGAGCTCAAAGAGCTATAAATATCTGAGGAGGAAGACTTCAGGTTGCAAAGCCTTCCTGGACCAGGTTGCTTCAAAGGAAGGTCTGAAAGGAAGAATGGGAGGTAGGCAGGCTGGGAAGGGAGAGACAATTCAGGGAAGGAGAAGACCATGAGCAGAGGCCTGAGATAGAGAGCCTGGTGCTATGGACTGGATGCTTGTGCCTCCCCCTGCCCCCAATCCACTTGTTGAAGCCCAGTCCCCTGTGCGATGGTGTTAGGTAGTCTGACCTTTGGAAGGTAATTAGCCGTGAGGGTGAATCCCTCACCAACAGGATTAGTGTCTTCATGAAAAGACAGGAGACAGCTTGCTTTCTATCCTCTCTGCCATGAGGACACACACAAAAAAATGGTCATCTGCAACCAGGAAGAGGTCCCTTACCAGAGCCAACAATGCTGGTGCCCTGATCTCAGACTTCTCGGCCTCCAGGACAGTGAGAAATAAATCTCTGTTGTCTAAGCCACCCAACATATAGTCATTTATAACAGCACAGAGTGACTGAGACACCTGGGGTGGGTGTGTTTGGGGAATTAAGTCCATTTGGTTAGAGTGTTGGATACCCGAAGCAGGTAATGGGGGTTAGGACTGAAGATGTAGGTTCCTACCAGTCTGTGAGTTTCTTCTTTTGGATTTTGGATAATAATTCAGCAAGAGAGGAGGGATGAGAATGAAAGGAAAGAACTGGTTGTGAGACTATTGGTAATTTTTGAAGCTAGAGAGTCCATGGCTTCTAGGGTGACCAGCTGTTCTGATTTGCGCAGGACTGAGGAGTTTCCCAGGATGTGAAACTTTTAGTGCTAAAATTGGACAGTTCCATGCAAATGGGGATGATTGATCACCCTGAAATATCACCCAAAACCCTAAAGGAAGATATTGATAGATTTCATTCAGTAAAAAATGACATGTGAGTGGCCAGGCATGGTGGCTTACGCCTGTAATCCCATAACTTTGGTAGAGGCCCAGGCCAGCGGATCATGAGGTCAGGAGTTCGAAACCAGCCTGGTGTTGACCAGCATGGTGGAACCCTGTCTCTACTAAAAATATAAAGATTAGCTGGGTATGGTGGCACACGCCCATAGTCCCAGCTATCTGGCAGACTGAGGCAGGAGAATTGCTTGGACCCAGCAAGTGGAGGTTGCAGTGAGCCGAGATTATGCCACTGCTCTCCAGCCTGGGCAACAGAGTGAGACTCCATCTCACTAAATTAATCAATCAATAAATTAATAAAATAAAATAAAATAAAATTTTAAAATAACATGAATAAAAAACAGAAGATAGTCTGAATGCATTGAAGCTATTTTTCTCTAGAAAAAAATTAAATGACTATCTCTTTGGGACTCGAGCCATTCAGTGACACTACCCTCCATTTCCTGATTGCCATCATCCAACCTCCTTGTGCCTGAACCCATCAGTAC